AATCCTCGTCGCCAGATGTCACGTTCCACAGCCGATGGAACTGGATTATTGCAATGAACGGATACGACACACGAATCCAACCTAGAAGTCCGCCATGCTGCTTTAATAATCAACTTCCCAACTTACATTGCGCGCTTAAGTATAATATGTATGATGCACCGAAATGTACCTTACAAACACTACAGATGGCCTTGCTATTGTGTAAAATAATACCTGGAACTACACGAGACAGGAGTTCATCTTAACATGACATGACGATGTTTAAAACCTAAGGATTCAAAGTCCAGGTGGAGTGACCTCTTCTCCAGGTCCTCTGGGGTCTAAAGCAGGATCTTGGCATTTCTGTTCATCGCCGCGCTATTGACTGTATCCTGAATATCTTTATCGACAATTTCGCGTAAATCAGAGTCTACCTCAATTTCGTAAACACACTTGGTTAAACTTGGTTCAGCAGAAGCTGTTATTTCACAAGGAAATAGCCCGTCTAGCCGGCGTTCAAAGGGGAAGGAGAGGGGCAAACTAGCTAGAAGCATACTTCACAAGTCGAACCCTTGTTTTAGGAGAACGAGAAACACAGAAAACAACTTCTTCTGTACTGTTCGTGGTCAATATTTATGGCGGCAAAGTGATTACTGCTATCCTACTACAGATTATATTTTCCTTCTGGCCTACTCCGAGATCTATTCTCACGTTTGTTTCCAAGACGCAAATAATTGAAATCACTAGAACACTGACTCTGTTGTTTATTTTGCTTCATCTAAATTCCGATGCTACCATGAGACTGGAGGGTTTTACACTGCTACTATAGCCTGAGCTTTATCCGGTGTCGCAAACAAGCAAAGAAAGATGTAAAGCCCACAAAAGTTTCTGTTAGTTGTTGCTGTTGTTGTGATTTTGTTGTTGGTTGATGGTTGATAAAATTACTCAACAAAGCCATTACAGGCAAATTTTGTCAAACATTTTATCAGTGCAAATTGTAAAAGGACAAAAATAATTTCCGATAACAATCGATAAAAATCGATACTACTCGAGGAATCAATCGTTATCGATTCCCATTGGCAATCAATTTCACTCCTCGATTAATATATGTTATCGATTAATATCGATTATCGGTTTATCGATTGACTGCACCTGGAAATACGTCACTCGGTAGACAAATGTTTAGGCGTCCGGGAATAGGTTTTGATGTCTGGCAATCGATCAGATGATACGAAAATTTTCCCTCGAAAGGTACCACTGAAAAGAAATCAAACAGCACCAATAGTTAGTCCGCATTCCAGACTTTAGCTGGAAGAAAATTCGAAATAAGAGTGTCCCGCATTCGGCAGAATCCACATGTGCCAAAAAGTTTTAATTTACACGGTAAAAATAAAGCGGCTCTACCCTAACCTATCCACTCATGTGCCAACATTTAGGAGTGCCGGACCCATAGACTACAGCAGACGCTTTCTGTTTCTGAAATCCTTTCTGCAAAGTAGGGAAAGAAACTTGAAGGAAATGGACTCGCACTTCTCGCCGCTTGAGCGTTCTTCTTATCCTTCGCATTCTTAGCGTCGCACGCTAGAAAAGGAAAGGGACTTCTCGCAGTCTACAGGAAAAACAATGAATGTTTTTGAAATGGGGCATAATAAACCTCCTTTGAAAGCTGCGAAGTTCGCATTATTTTGACTTCTGATTTGCTTTTTGTTTCGCGTTACGTATGTTCTGATTTATGCAATCCATTTTCTTTCGACTACTCTATTTAATCAAATCTGATTGAAATGTACATTGTATGAATAGAAATAGAGTAAGGAGTGGACCATTTGACGTTTTAGGGGGGGGGAGAGGTGATTTGGTATAGGCAGGAATACTTTTAACCCTCTCATTTCCGTTGAAGGTTCAAGTTATCGGGAGTCGACTGTATAGTTCAGAGACTGAACTAGCCAGCAAAGCCATCCGGCTCGCGCCAGGCCCCTCGCCAGCCCGTCTCTCACGGCTTTGCCGTACGTGCCGCAGCCCATTAGACCCTGCTTGCTGGCTATGAGCAACTTAGATCCTCTAAATTTAACACGAAGGCTCTAGACACGAGAATGCGACAATGCATCTCGTTTCATCTAGGCCGATATTACTGGCTACTACCTATGCATATATGAACACATCCGTCCCACGCTAGGAAAGGAAAGGGACTGCTGGCAGTCTATAGGACCCAAAATGAATGTTTTGAAAATGGAGCTTACTTAAGTCTATAAATCGAGGAGAAGTGGTCTTCTGATGAACGACACTCGCTATTCCGTTCCTTTACTTCCCGTCGACAAACAAATACTCTGTAGAACGTATTAACGCACGTCTTACCTCGACGGTTCCACATATCATATCATGCCCTGCCACGCCCTATTAAAGGCTTAGGAAATAAACTGATGCTTTTGTTGCTGGCTCGCTAGGGAATTTTAAAAGATTATCCTGGAAAGTTAAGCTATGAATAGGTTTCTGCATGGAGAGCGGAACAGCAAAACGTTCCCGGCAAATAGTCTAAAAAGAAGACATTTACTTTACTTCTTAAAAAATTTAGTTCCTTGATGGATTCTGAAAATTGTGCTTCTTGGTACCACTGAACACGTGGAACTTGTGCGCTACATTCGACAAGGTTTACTGACGTCTGATAGTAACAATAGCCAAGCCGATAACTATTGTAGCATTCGCAGCATAAATTTGACAACTTTGAGTAAGCCGGCGAACTCAATAAGACAGATTTATCTTGTTGTCAAACTTGAATTTTCTTCTCTACTGATGCGGATCTTTGTTAGTTTTCAGATTAACTGTTATGGCAAGAAAAGGATACAACAAGATATCTCCCAGTGAAGATAAAGAAGAAGTCAGCTTCGTGTCTCTTCTTTTCTTTCAATGGATGAATAGTATCTTCAAGATAGGCAGTGAACGACCATTAGATGAGAATGATCTTTTACCCCTTTCAAAAGAGAATTCTTCCACTTTTCTGACCGATCAGCTTCAAGCAAACTGGAACAAAGAAAAAGCAAAGTGCAACAGAAATCACAAAAAGCCTAGACTTTGGAAATGCGTCATAAAGTTGATCTCGGTAAAAGATGCCATAATTATTGTATCCACGGATGCTTTGCGTTCAATTTCTACCCTTCTTCAACCATTGCTATTGGGATATCTTATTTCCATACTGATGTCATCTGAGCCACAAAAAGATAATCTTCTGTACGGTTGTACACTTGCTTTGTGCATAAATTCTATCATAGGAGCTCTTTGTATGCACCACTATTTCTACAGATGTGAGCTGTTGAGTATCAGAATTAGTTGCGCCTTAAAAAGTCTAATCTATTATAAGGTAAGCACGAATAGTGTATAATAGGAGAGGAGGGAGCGTGGTCGAGCCTTGAGGGAGGAGGGGAGACTCCTTGTCCTTTTACTTGTATTCTAGCGTAAACAAATGTCCAGCTGTAATGAATGAGGGATTTTGCGAAATTTGAAAATGCGGAGCTCCAGCTGTGCTCTTACAACCATCTTAAGTTGCGCAATCTAAATTGTGAAACATTTATTTGACAACTTCTATCCTAGGAATTCTATGGCGAATTCCCTTATTCGCAACAATTAACTCAGTCAGACCCAGCAATCCTGAAAATTTGAGGTCAAAAACTTAAATCCTTCTTGAGATATCTTTTCTCAAAGGCAAATAAAACTCGTTTTGAGAAAACGAGCTTTGAACTTACCGGGAGAAATGCTCCTCAAAACAAAACTTCAATACCGCAAGATTCGAATTCCGGTAAAAACAAAAATTCCAAATTTTTAAAGAATTTCAGGCAACCCTCTATCCCCGATACTGAGTGTTCTATGCGGACACTTCATCGAAGTCAACAGAAATTGCTTTAGCGACATCGTTAGATTGCAAAGTTGATGCAGCGTCAGATAAAGTAATACCACACACCACATTGTGCTTCTTTAATCCTTGTTTCGAGAAAATCCTAAGATTTAGTGTTTCCTCTTTCGCAGACGCTACTTCTCAGCAAGGATGCATTGTTAAAATTTACGACAGGCCACGTGATCGACCTTATATCAAATGATGTTCAGCGAATGGAGGAAGACACAGTCATGTGGCTTTACTTATTGTTTCCTTCCTGCTTTCTCCTCGTTGTGATAGCAGTGTTACTCGTGTATTTGATTGGCTGGCAATCTCTGATGGGAGTCTTTTTCCTNATATCGAAGAAAAATTCAACGCACGAGAAGGTAGGGGAAACCAAATGTAGTACTTAATGTTGACTCAGTGTGTAATTGCATTCACTGTAGCTGTAAGATAAATTTCAGTCACAACTCATCGTCTTCTATTGCCAACTTGCGAGTTTGATCAGTTACCTCATCGTTTACTTTCCGCTGACAGAACACGACCACGCGTGTAGTCTTTTAAGGGATAAGGGTAAGGGATAACTGTTCTTGGTTTTTGGCCAAACAGTCCTCAAATTGAAGGTTCCTGACTACTACTCTTCGTAATGTGTACTAAAACAGTTGTACTGCTCACCCTCGTTTATGCAACTGCTCCTTTGGCCATTCGCTCATGTAATATCTCGGCTGTGAAAGACTCTAACGGAAATTCCAAAGACAATTCTCTTTTACTACTTCATACTACGTGCCACTAGCGGTGTTGGTAAGTGATATGTCCTCATAGTTCTTTTGCGTTTTGTTTTCAGAAATGAAATTAACACCATCCGTAAGAAAAGTGCCATTCTGTCAGGAGTTCTTGCCTTGTGGGACAGTTCCGTATCAATGGCGACCCTGTTGTCTGTCGTTACTCTCGTGCTTACTGGTCAACCCATCACACCTGTAAATGTCTTTATGCTGCTAGGTTTTATGGATATCGCAAGAACAATAACATGCCTTAATTTTTCTTCTGCTTTGTTGCAAGGAAACGACGCTCATGCGTCGCTAGGAAGAATAGAAGATTTTCTCCTTTTAGAAAACCTTCCCGCCATCTTACGTGGTCAGTCTCAAGACGACATCAGTAACCCAGGGAGCAAGGCAACCAAAGTTACGAGTGGTCTGTCAGATCAACAGGCGAAAATGGCAAGGGTATTCAATCCTGACCTAAGAAAAACT